TCAACATTAAATAAAAATAAAATTTTATTTTTTCATTGGTTAATTTTTATGCAAGTCTATACATTAATTGCAACTTTATTTTGTGGATACATTCTTATAAAAACATCTAATTTTAAAGTATTTGCTTTTGAATTCTTAATTAATATTTCGGGTTTAAATTATTACAAGTTTTTATTTAAGAATTCTTGAATAAAGAAGAATAAATCATGTTTCTTTAAGTAGAAATTTTATGAAAAACACAAAAAATAATAATAATTAAATAAAAAATTTAAATAATTTTGTTCTATCTACCCATAGCGTTGCGTAAATAATTTCAAAAATTAATCTTCTCATTAGTATTAAATAAATTTTTTTCTAATTGTTAATTTTTTTTTAAAGTCTGTCCATTAATTATAAGTTTATTTTTTTGAAGTACAATATTATGAAAATTATATTTTTAAATTTTTTTAATTCTTGATTAATATTTTAATTAAAATTATTATATTTTTTTATTTTTAAATCAATCCCTAAAAAAGATTGATATATATTATTTAAACAAAAATTTATATAAAAAAATAAATAATTAATTAAATAAAAAATTATAATTATAATTTTTTTTAAATTTTAAAATAATTTTTTTTAAATTAGATTTGTAATAGAGTGCGGGCAATCGAATAGTTAACCCTAAAACTCCTTACAGACGGTGGCGTGGCTACATTTAGGGGTAACCAACTAGCGTTCCATAAATTCACCTCCTCTTACTTGGAAGAAGAGAAGGTTATAATTGTCAAGGACCAAAGGAAAATACTAAAAAAGAGAGAATGACAAACAGAAATTGGCAAAGAATTATAGAGCGTGACCTTGAAATAGATTCATTGACCAAAATTGGGTTAACATTGACAGCTAAATAAAGAGAGCAGCTTGCTTAGGAATCAAAATTTCAACTCGATGGGTAGCTAACATGCTTAGAATCAGCCAGGACATGGCCTCACACAAACTAAATGTCAACCTTTCTTCCTCTTGTCATAAAAAATTCTGAATATTTAATAAATTCAAAGTGAAAAATGGGGTTATTACTCTCTAAAAAAAAACCTAGAATTGCACCATATAATTAATTACTAGTCAGCTTTATTATTGTTTTCATTTTAATTTTAACAAACATATTTGTACTCTATTTTTTTTATTTGCATAATAGGTTTATTTTGTATGTATTTTATTATTTTAAATTATATATATATATATATATATATATATATATGATTACTATTTAGAGTTTATTATGATGGGGTTTTACATAAGATACGTTCACATTATCCAAGATAAGGTGCTATTAAAATCACAATAACATGAAAATTAGAAAAGAAAAAAATTGATAATTTGATCCATGTACTCTTTGAATTATTTTGATTAAGTCTTTCTATTGAGATCTCACGTATGATACATATCATACTTTTAGAAGTCAATGCACTATATGATCTCACAACTAACCGTGTTATAATAGAGAGATAGAAACAAAATAAAATGATGAGTAGAAGGAGTTAATCAATGCAAAAAAAAAAAAAGAGTAAAGTTTCAATAAAAAAATTTCAAAAATAGGACCATATATGGACCAAACCCTTTAGCTATCTCTAAAACAAAAGGATAAAAAATGATCAACTAGGTGTTTAATTAAAAAAAAACAAAAACCAACTCTGCTCCACGACTTAACTTTTCAAAATAAAAAGTGATTTCTCTTATATTATAATTACACAATAAGAAATTTTACTAATATTTAACTATCTTGATCATAGTTTTGGAATTTGATAGATTCATGAACTAAACATTGTCAGTACCTTAAAAGAGTGACTATAGTACCATTTGCAATTTGTACATTTTTTATTTATTTACATGTAATATAGTATTTTTGGATTAATTTTTATGTTAATCAAGAATAAATTTATTTTTTAAAATTAAATCAATGCCAGATAATATTAGATTTTAGTCGATTTTAAGGTCGAATTTTTTAGACTCATCAACAACATAAGTTCAGTGAAAAAAAAAAAAAAGAGTAAGAGCTTTCTAAGTATATAGTTATAACTTCAGTCATCATCAACTTCTTATAATTTGGATGCTTATTTATCAAATATATTACATGATTTACATAAGGAATATGCATCCAATAATTAAGTGAACCCATCACCAGCTGAACTAAAATACCTTGTAAACTAATCTTAACTCTTACTAAGTATAATTTCCTGAACCACTTGTCAATTGGTCAAAGAGTGATTCATCTCGGCGCTAATTAAGAATGTCAGAAACACCTATCATCTAGACTCTAAATTACTACAGACAATCCAAATTACAAGAAGATTATAAATTAGTCCCTTTATTTTGAAAAATAAATAATTTTTTACTATTAAAACTACTTATTTAATTATTTTACCAGTTTTAATAATATTTAATTTCATATTTTTGTATTTTTCTACTTTTTAAAACAAAAATTCAAAAAAAAATTATAAAAAGACCAAAAATAATTAAATTATAAAAAAATTTTGAATATAAAGATTAATTAATGGTTTTTGAAACAATAGAGACTAATTTATTTATATCAAAGAGTTTATAATCTAGTAATAATGATCTCTTACAACAAGAGATTACGGATTTAAATTCCAACAGATTAATTTTGTTAGGAGTATTGGGTGTGTGAATTAAAAAAAAAATAATCTAATTTTTTTTTTCAAAACTAAAGAGAATAATTTATAATTTACTCTTCAAATTACCAGTCCGGCCAATGAAGAAAAATGAATTAATAATGAACTTGTTAATTGACCAAGCACTTCAAAATGAAAAATAAATTAATTTTGAGATTGCATAAGTTACAAATTGGAATTGATTGGAAGAGTGTGTATATATATATATATAAAGGAAGGTTGACGATTTTGGCTATGTTAGGTTTTGGCTATGTTCAAAAAGGAAAATGATACCAAGCTAGACTGTGACAGGGTGAGCTTTGTTCTCTAAACCTTTCTCTTCCACCTAACATCGTCACGTAAGAGATAGCACGATGCCTTTGCTTCGGTTTAGGATATAGACTATGGAGTGCGATCGATCGATCTCTACTTTGAAGCTAAAAAAATTAATGGATTAAGAAAAGGACAACAAGCTTAATTTGATGCAACCAGTGACTTCATTTACGATGGAGACAATATCGGAGTAGGTATTCTGATGAGACAAGCAAAGCAATAATTAATAAATATATAAATAAATAAGCAATTAAGCAATCGTTTATATATTAGTACTTCTATATATATATATATATGCCCATGGCAATAATATATAGTATATTTTTTCCCTTTTTTTGGAGGGAAAAAAATGCATGTAAAATTTATTTTGTCTGTGTGGAAATTCAAAATTCTCCAAGACGCGTTTGTGACTGGTCTTATCCAATATGTTTCGTAACACGTCATTAATTCTTTTATCTTATCTTCTGGTTTTTCTCAAACAAATAGTTGACTTTAAGATAAATAAATTAGGTTTGTATTTTTTTTTTTTCAAAGAGTCCGAAGACATCGAAAACAAACAGACTTGAAGGAACTGCTTTCAAAATTTTAAATGCAAAAGCAAAAAATAAACACGTATAATACCAAACGAACCCTTAAATGAAATCGGAAAAAATCGATTCAATATGTTTAGCAGTAAAAGATTGTCCATACATCAGTTTTTATATATATTAGAGATAAAAAAAATTTTTGAACGTAGGCTTACAAATTAATATTTATTCACCAACAGACTATTACCTTATCATTTATTCTTGGCTATTTTTTCCATATGATGGTTTTGAAGTCTTTTCACAGAACCGAATTAAATCATTAAAAAGTAATTTCAGCTAAAGAGATAAATAGCATACTCTCCGTAGATGTAGCCAGGCTTAAATAGACACTGGATTTTGACCATTTATCTATCGTACTGTTCTAACTAGTGGCAATGTCATTATTGTAACAAAAAAAGAAATATGATGTTATTGTCCTCATTTAAGACGCGGTTGAAAAGCAAAAGACAGTACTCACCATATTAATTGATTGAGAGAGGTACGATACTGTGGTTAGTTAATATGGAAATATCACTAACCATCATCCAGCAATAAATTAGAGGTTTCCTCGATCCTCAAAATATTTATGACAAATTAATTAATTACAAAAGATATCGAGAATCATCAGATTGTAATTTCGTGCCATTTTGCTTTTAACGCGTTCATAAGAAAAAGTCCTTATTAATTGTATGGTTATGGAATATTAAGGAGAGGGATGAAAACAATTGAGAGAGATCCAGCCGGACGTGCTGTTTTCCAGCTAGCTAGTATTTGCCATGACATTGATTATACCCAAAAGAAATAAATTAGGTACAGAAACTTACGATATGAGCTTAACAAGGACATTTCATTTAAAAAATAATAATAATAATAATAAACGAGGAAAGTAATTTGAAAGAGATTTCTTTTTGTGAAATACATGTGGCGCCTGCTGAATGCACCACCAAACTCATTCCGCAACTCACTCTAAAACCACTTGTAAACAAACTGAGAATAAAAAAAGGAAAAAAAGAAAAAGTAGATGATGAAATATTAGTTAGCAAGATGAAGTGAACGGTCCAGCTCTATCTTAGAAAAGAAAATACTAAATAATACTAATCGACCAACCAGATTAAAATAATCCTACCAAACTATCAAACGAAATACATTAAATATATATAAAAATAAGAGACAAATGAAATATTCTAGTGAGATTTCGGTAGGCTGTAATGAAGATTTAGATAGCTGTAAGTTTAGACAGAGCTTTCATGTTTTTGTCAAGGCCATCGTGCGGGTTTCTATTGCAAGTCTCCCACAGGGTTTGCCTTTGGCTTAGCGTGAAGAGCTGGACTCCAATTCATTATTACTCCACGTCAACCAACACCCTCTTTCTCTTTTAAACCAATCCCCCTACCCCCTCCCTCTTATCTATCAAACCAAAATAAACCTGACTAAAGCCTTTTTCTTTCAAAAAATGGAGGGACTTATTCCTTTCGTGTACAGGGCTATAGTGCAATACAAGAACGGAAACGAAGCTGGGCCTCTAGGGACCTGGTTCAGTGAGTCACCTTCGGCTTCGTACATGCGACTTCCAGGCGATTCAGGTCGGTTTCAAACATCCGATATACGAATTTTTGGATCCGACTATGGCTTCTCTACCTCTTCAACATCATCATCTAATATGAATTCTTCTACAACTCAAATTATTGTTTCTACCGGAGCTCAATCTCCTCTTAATTGTCGTTTGACTTCTCGCCGTGTTGTTACATAATCGTGATCACGTCGACCTCTAGAAAATGTTACTGTACGTGTGACATGCCTGACGAAAGCTGAAGGCATGGAGCTAGCTTGTTAAAAAGGGTGGTTATTGTGCTGGTAATTGTATCTAGCTTGAGACTTTGTCTGTGTCCTTGATTTAATTTCTTTTATGCCGTGCATGGCTTGTCAGTTTGGATGGTAATAACAAGCGTGTGGAAAACCGAAGGGGCCGCACAGCTTTGTGTTATGTATTAGTGTGGAAGATATGAAGATCAAAAAGATGAGGGCATGTGGAAAACCAAAGGGGCACACATGCTCTAATTGTATAAATCAATTACTACCAGTTATGGAAGTATTAGATTGTCATGTTTGAAAAAGGTTTATGTTTCTGAATTGTAAAGGTCTCTGTTTCTGAATTGTAATGGTCGAGAAATATCAATCAGTTTATGTTTGACAGAAAGTTGAATCTACCTTCCTCTTCTTCTTCTTCTTCTTCTTCTTTTTTTTTTTTTTTCAGAAAATTCAGTTCGCTGGTTTTGCTTTGGGTCGTTAGGGGTTGAGTTAGTAATTAGCTAGCCGTTGCAGATTTTTTCTTTTTCCTTCTTTCTATGTTTGGTTTCTTATTTTTTGCTATTGTTAAAATCTTATTGTTCTTTATTTCTTTTCTTCCCGTGTATACATATAACGCACTTTCTAAAATTAGAACTAATTGATAATTCTTTTTTCAATTTCTTATTTTTCACTAACAAAAAATCAATATTATTTATACTTTTTTTTTATACATACAAACACATTTAATATAAAAATTTCAAAGAAAAAAATACTTATTACATGAACAATATTCATCTTTGTAAAGACTTTATTGCATGCTGAAATTTTGAGAGTAAAATACTTTCATTAGTATGTTATTTTTTATAATTATTTTAAACTTATTGTTAATTAACTAAATAATTTTTTGTTTTATGTATCACCTTAATTTTGAATTTATTTTTAAAAATTAATATTGGTTTCACTTAATGCATAATTAAATTTGATAACTAGTCATTTTAATAAAAGATGTAATTTAGGAAAGTATGAATAGATTTTTTTAGTATTATATAATAATTAATAATTTTTTTAAACTGTAAGGATAATTTATTTAGACAGAAGAAGTAGTTTCTTAGATTTTAGGCACCTGGGCAGCATAGTTGGTTCTTCATCCATCAAGATTAGAAGAAACTGCTGCCTCCAGGTCTGAATACTTTCCGCTTAAAAATAATTTCTGAATTTTTTATTCTTTACCAATAAAGAATTTTTTATAACCACACGATTTGATCCATACTTTGCATATAAGTTAGTATAACCGGTAGAAAAGAACTCCGTATCTAAATCTCGTAATTGATTGTCGAGAAATTTCTATTATAGCCACACGATTTAATCCATACGTTGCATATAACTTAATATAGCTGGTAAAATAGAACCTCATATCTGAATCCCGTAATTAACTATCTCCTTCTCTTGGTTCAAAACTGATAGAGATTGGCAAATTTCTCCCGATTCAAATCTCACATCTGAATTTCCGATTAATTATATACTGAGGTATTGTTTGGTTTTTTTTTTTTTTTTTTTTTTTTTTTTTTTTTTGTTTTAAAAGCACGGGATAAAAATACAAAAATTAGAATAAAAATTAGAAAATCAGAATTATATTTTCATTTAAATATTAATGTGTTAGAATAATAATAAATAAAATTTAAAAATTTTAATATATGATTTTGAGGAGGAATACAAACAATGATTAAAAAATAATTTTATTAATTATAATGATTGAAAAAATGATAAAAGTTATTGCAATGGTGGCATCGAAAAAGGAGACGGAGGAGGCGAGTTGTAGTGATAATAATGTAATATAACAATAATATATTTGAAAAAAATAAATGATACTACTACCTTAAGAGATAGGAGTAAGGATGGCAATTTGACCCGCCTTGTTTAGGGAGGAGATGGTAATGAAATATCACCCCAAATGGGGCAAGGGACGAGGGCGGGGATGGCCGCTTGCCTTTTGCCTTTAGGAATGGCAATCCGATGGGATCCTGCTTTGCCTCATTTGGAGCAAAGATAGTATGCGAAATATCGTCCCAAACGAAGCATGGGGCGGGGACGGGGATGGCCATCCTCGCCTTGCTCCATTGCCATCCCTAGATACGAGTGGAAAAAGAGTGGTGAACTCTATATTTGTCATAAAAGGATTTTATCCGCCAACAAGTTCTATCAACAAACAATGAGGCATGAAACTTCTACCACACCTTTGACGACAAACCGCACTAATCTTTTGATCATCATTCTTAAGATACTTATAGTCATATTTAATCTGAATTGAATATTCCCTAATAATTTTCTTAACATAAATCTATCCTTAAACTTCATATTAGGTTTAAGAATGATTTTAGACTTAAAAATCAATCTTAGAATTAAAGTTAGGATATCGAGGCTTTCTTACCCCGTCCTTACAATTAAACCCATTTAGACTTCTCAAATCATTACTATCACAATAATCGATTTATTGTCACCATTCCAATCACATCCATCATTTATATTTCCTTAACTAGTCCGACCATTAGCACCATCATCTTTATTTCTTCTCCTCATCCAATCTTCAACCTCTTTATGTATCCCTTTTGTCGACTTCAATGTAAAATAAATCTTCTTGATGACTACTATTGTCTTCAAAGTTTGCTTAAATCTCTCATCTTCTTCATCATTATCACCACTACATTAGCCATCATCATATTCTACATCTACATCAAAGTACATGATCACCTATTCTTCACCTTCCATGTTTTTACCTTCTATATTTTCACCTTCACACTCGTCCTTCATCATCATATTGTACTTCATCAAGATCACAATCATAGTCATTACCATCTTCTTCTACAAGACTACTATCACCATTTGAAGAAAAATCCAAATCTAGTATAGTCGCATCTATTCCATACTCAACATACATTTCTAAAATATTTATATGATGGAAAACCATATAAAATCCTACATTCCGCAAATTATAATCATCATTAATAGTCCTTAACTTGTGATCCATGTCCTCATTAAGGTACTTGTAATAAAATTGGTATATGTTTAAATACCTAGTTGAATTCACAATCCCTATGATACTCGAGTGGATAGATTCTTTGTTATGATAACATGATCATCCTTCACAAACTCTAATATTCAATTTTTGAATTGTATATGAATTTTCTCCCACAAAATATTCTCAATAGTATCGGAATTTATAATAATAACACGGAAAAAAAAATCATATTAAAAATAAAACTCCAACTAACATAGACAAGAATGTCATTGATAAGGTATAAAAAATAATAAACTTGTCAACTAATCACAATATTTTCCACAAAACAAAGATAAATAATATCCCATATCACATTGTAAACTCAAGTGATAGAAAACCCAACTTTCATAACAAACCCTAAAACGTGAAATCCCAAAAAAATACCGTCATTTTTTAAGAACCACATGCACGTACAAAACCCATACAAAATAAGGTCGGACTCCAATATATTAACCCTATATAAATGATTTTTCAGCTTCAATTGTAACATTACCCAATACTTACACTATAAGAAAATCAAAAAAATCAATTAGTGGCATGGTCACGAACACTATTAGTATAAATGCCACGACCATAGACATTGTACCGTGACTAGGTCTATTCAATCCATATGGCATAACTCTAGAATAACACCTAAAACAGCTTTAACAAAATAACAAAATGATAATAATTTTAATATCTAACAAAATTTAAAAGAGTCTCTTTCATAAATTGCATATTTTTTAATTAACAAATACTCTAAATGATTACACAAACATTGAAGTTAAATCAACCAACAATCAATTTATGCACATTGAGACCGCCACTTGCCTCGATTACTCCATCGAAATTAAGTTCCAAACTTATCCTCCTAACTCTATTGTAGAGCATTAAACAAACCTTATTTCTCCTCAATTATCAAGGGTCTCCGACCTTTGAAGTTCGATATGCTACAACATATCAAAGCACACTTCAATAATTATATACACCAAAATCAAATTAACTCAAATTCAAACCTAGTTAAATTTAACTAACAATTAATTAATAATTTACAATACAAATAAAATTAAATATCATCCAATTAATCAAAATTAATCTAATTAATTAATTAAACCTAAATCAAACTAACCTAATAAATTCTAATTCAAACATAATTAATTTTAAACTTGATTAATTAAACCTAATTCAATCCCGACAAAATTAACTAACATTTACTTAACAATTTCCAATAAAAATAAAATTAAAAACCAACTAATTAATCGAATATAACCTAATTAATTAATTAAACTTAAATCAAATTAATCTAATTAATTCTAATTCAAACCAAATTAAATTTAAACCTAAATCAAATTAGCCCTAATTCAAACCTAATTAAATTTAAATAATAGTTAATTAAAATTTTCTAATATAAATAAAATTAAAAATCAACCAATTAATCAAATTTAACCTAATTAATTAATTAAACCTAATTAAATCTATTTCAAAACTAATTAATTCAAACCTAATTCAATCCTAATTAAATTTAACTAATAATTAATTAACAATTACCATTATAAATAATATTTAAAATCAATCCATTAATCAAAATTAGCCTAATTAATTAATTAAACCTAAATAAAACTAACAATTAATTAATTAATTAATTAACCTAACAAATAACAAAAATAATAATTTAACAAATTAATTAACAAACTAATAACTAATCAAATTTAACCTAATTAATTAATTAAACCTAAATCAAAACAACTAATTAATCAAGATCAACCTATTTAATTAATTCGACCTAAATCAAGCTAACAATTAATTAATAAATTAACCAAACAACTAACAAAAAAACAATATAATAAATTAGTCAAAAAATTAACAACTAAAACAATACAAATTATAAATCGGCTAATTAAATTTAAAATTAACCTAACAATTATGAA